GAGGGTAGAATAGTAGTTACCGAAGTCTGGGAGGAAGGTGGAAGAGGACATTACTTTTTAATATATATGCGGTTTTTGTTGGGGATAATGATAAAGTTCTGTGAATAGATAATGGTAATGGTTAACTGTTTTGTGAATGTATTTAAGCCACTGAATTGCATACTGCCAGTACTTAAAATTATAAATATGATGGCTAAAATAGTATTATAAGCATTTTACCATATTTTTAAAAGTTCTTAATTTAAAAGATAGAAGGCAAAATCTAGAAAATAATATCAGCAGAGAAAAGTGCTCATAGATTATTTAGAGTGTGCTTTGGTTCTTGTCTTGCTTTTGAGAGTAATAAAAATAACGAATGACTTGACATTCTAAAAAATGTGTAGCTACTAGTTTGAAAGGATGTATGCATCCATGTTTATCATAGCATTATTTACAGTAACCAAGATATGGAAGCAACCTAAGTGTCCAACAATAGATGAATGGGTAAAGAAGGTATGGTATACATATACAATGGAATATTACTCAGCCATAAAAAAGAAGGAAATCTTGTCAGAAATTTCTGACAACAGGGATGAACCTATAGGGTATTATGCTAAGTGAAATAACTCAGAGAAAAACAAATACCATATGGTTTCAATTAAATGTGGAATCTAAAAAAATAAAACAAATGAACAAACACACATGCACTGTTGAGAGTAAGATGGAGTCACTCATGTCAAGCAATGAGGCAAGCATTTAAGGATTCTGAAGCTATCAGATATCACTGAGACCAGCCCAGCTGACAACACCCCAGAGCTGGTAACTAGGAGAAGCACAGGAGGTCTGAAGGGTCTCAAGACTGATGAAATCCCTTTAAAAAGGGAGTTTGCAGCCAACTGTAGACTCTCCAGACACTGACCTCTCAATGTCTGAGCACTTAAAAAAGGCAGCCACTGCTAAAGGCTCTACCTGATTGATCTCTGAACAGAACTGAGATCCTCCATTGTTTGAACAGAATAAGCAATAAGTGCCAAGAGCTGACCCCGGCCGGACTGAGGCCTTATCTCAACTGCGCACCCACAGACTGACTTCGTTCTCTTCCTATCCGCCATGTTATCTTGTTCTTTGTGTGACTTAGGTCTTGTGTTTTGCTCTGGGTGCCATGTACAAAGCCAAGTTAATCATGTGGTGAAATGTCATTGAGTTTGGAATCCTGAACCTGCTTTATAATCATGCTAGCCTTGCTTTAATGACTGAATAAAGCTGGCAATGTGGAAAGACATAACTCATGTGTGCATCTTCACAGTGTGCTCATGACATACACAGACCAGAAACAGACTCATAAATACAGAGAACAAGCTAATGGTTGCCAGAGAGGAGGGGGTGGGGATGGGCAAAATAGGTGAAGGGGATTAAGAGGTGCTATCTTCCAGTTATAAAGTAAGTCACAGGGATAAAAAGTACCCTGTAAGGAATATGGTCAATAATACTGTAATAACTCTGTGTGGTGACAGATAGGGACTACACTTACCATGATGAGCAATGCGTTAAGTAGAGAATTGTTGAAATCACTGTGCTGTACATCCGAAACTAATATAACGTTGTATGTCAACTATACTTCAATTAAAAAAGGAAAACTGTGTAGCTAAATATGTATGTTGAAATTGTAAGAGGAATTCTAAGAAGTTATAGATTCTATCATAGCTTCCAATCTAACAGTCGGGGGGATAATTAAAAAGGAAAATAACTGGGGCACCTGGGTAGCTCAGTCGGTTGATATCTGACTCTTGATTTCAGCTCAGGTCATGATCTCAGGGTCTTGAGTTCAAGCCCCGCCTCGGTCTCTGCTCTCTTTGTGAAGTCTTCTTGAGATTCTCTCCCTCTGCCTCTGCCCTTCCCCCTGTTCTCTCTCTCTCTCGCTCTCTCTTTCAAAATAAATAAAATCTTAAAAAAAAAAAGAAAGAAAAGAAAAAACTTCCCTAACGAAATAGAAAGCAGGAAAAGAAAAATAAGCCAAAGAAAAATAATTCATGGAAAAGACATAATAAGATGGCAAAAATTTATCAGATATATATATTTTTAAAACTCACTTATTAAAATACAGAGACTATAAGTTTGGGTAAAAAGCAAAATCCAACTATATACTACTCACAAGAGAAATATCTAAAACAAAATGACCAAGAAGGATTAAAATTAAAAACATAGGAAAAGTTATGCCAGGCTAATACTAACCAAACCAAAGTTGGTATTGCAATATTATAATGATAATATCAGGACAAAGCCCAGACTTTTAAAAAGTTTAAAAACACTGACTTCAATATTTCCAGTGTTAGCTGACTACAAATATAAATCTGATACTTTCAACCTGGTGTTACTTATCTATTCTTTCTAAGCTTTCTAAATCAGCTACCAAAAGCATTTATGGAGTAGTATGTACTATGTGTTAGATAATGTGATGGAGACCAAGATGAATACAACCTAATTACTACTCCATAGATCTTATAGTCTTGTAGGGAATATAAGTCCAGTAAGTTTTTTCAAATGCAGCAGATTCTGAGTGCCAGTAGAGAGTTGTAAGTGAGGCATGATGGGAACTGGGCATGAATATAGAATCAGGAAGAAACTTCATGCAAAATGTGGCATTTGAAATGGTCCTGAAAAACTGGATAGAATTTTAACGGATGGAGGTAAGGAAAAGTTATTTCAGGTTGAGGAGAAACGGTAAAGCTTGGAGCAATATATTGTATTTTCTGCTTTTTTGTTTGAGCGGTCTTATCTAAAAGAATTTTCCCTGATTATATTGCCTATTAACTCCTTAAGTAAAGTGATTATGATCTCTATACTGACCAGTTAAATTTCACTGGTAGGGATGATCTTAAGACAGTAGTGGTGGGGTGCCTGGGTAGCTCAGTCGTTAAGTGTCTACCTTCTGCTCAGGTTGTGATCCCAGGGTCCTGGGTTCGAGCCCCGCATCAGGCTCCCTGCTTGGCGGGAAGCCTGCTTCTCCCTCTCTGACTCCCTCTGCTTGTGATCCCTCTCTCATTGTGTCTCTGACAAATTAATAAAATCTTAAAAAAAAAACAGTAGTGGAAATATAAATCTTTTTGTAGTCAATATTATATGTCCTTGGCCTATCAGTGTGTGTTTTAAGATTCTTATTTTATAACTTCTTATGTAAATGCTTATCCATACAATGAGTCTCAGCCAGATTCTTCTGTGCATAAATTATTCCCTCTTTTTAAAAAAGATATACATATCTACCTATCTATCTTAAAGGTTTATTTTTAGACAGAGAGAGAGAGAGGAAAGCACTTGAGGGAGCAAGTTGGGGGGAGGGGCAGGAGAGGGAGAGAGAGCATCTCAAGCAGACTCCCCGCTGAGCGTGGAGCCCAACGCTAGACTCAATTTCACAACCCTGAGATCATGACCTGAGCTGAAACCAAGAATCAGACGCTCAACCCACTGAACCACCCAGGTGCCCCTAAAAAATATATTTTTTAAAAGCTACACTAAGGATATAATTTCACTAGTATTAGTTTCTTTATAGCCCAGATTATGACCTAGACACCAGCTTTTTTCCCATGGGGGGTATGAAGCATACTTTGGGACTAATTCTTTGCTGGATAGCTTCATAAATTTAAACTAGATTGTTATCATTTTAGACTTCATTTGCTAGAAATGTGACGTACTCCATTTACCTGTAACAGCTCATTTGCTTTATTTTTCATTTTCCTTTGCTCAAGACAACATTGCAAACTGCATAGTTAACACTTTAGTTACTTTTTAAAAATTTCTCTTCTAACCTAATTCTTTACCAGATGTTTTCCTCATGCGTCCTCATAGTGTCTCAGAAGTAGATTTCTACACTAGTTTTCCACAGGGAAAGGAGCATGTAATTTGCCTTTTCATACAGTTGTTAATATTAACAGGAAGAGGCTAATTTTATCTTAAGTGATAACATACTCTATGTTAAAGACAGGTTAGATGTTTCCCTCAGAACTTGGTCAGGGAAAAGGAAAATGGAACAGATGACTCCTTAAATTTTTTCATGTTCCGTTCAGAGATTCAGTTTTGTCCCCACTTTAAATTGTCAGCAAATGAAAAGTGGCATTTAGAATTTCCACTGTCTCTCTTGTTTTGCCATCTTCAGTTTAATGACTGCTTCTCTACAAAGATTAACATATTTTCCACTCATGATTTACTTGTCAGAGAATTTAGGAGTTTTCTGGAACCGGAAATCTGCCTTTAGTCGTGATGATTACTGGATAATTGCCTATTCTTTGGTGGAATTTCCATTTTTAGATTACGCCAGGCTCTACAGCCTTTATTTCTTTGGCAGAAGAACCCAAAGGCAATGAAGTATATTTTTTCCCCTTCTCCGGCCCAGCTTAAACAATGACTCACTTGGGCTCTGGGGCTTTGCTTCATACTCTCATTCAGGGGCCACTTTTTACCCTTGTTCCTCTTATTTGTCTTAATGTTCTATTTGAAACCTTTCATATCCTTTGGCACATGGCTTTGCCTCTGAGGTTATTGTCAAAAAGGTATCCATCACCCCCCAAATTGTCTTGAACAGACAATCCAGTTCTGTCCCCATGAGCTATGTTCTTATGAGAGCTGATATAGGTCAGAGAGAGTACAGAAATCATATCTTTAAGGAAACATAATTCCAAATGTGGTAGAAGAAGTATTCTCCAAAAAGATACAAGTGCCAATGTCATCCAGTTAAAGACTCTATCTGAGATGCTCCCGTGGCTGATTAAAACTCTCTCAGTGCATATATGTGGGAGGTAGGAAACACTCAGAGGAAGTGGACTCCAAGAGTTTTCAGAAGGATATGGTTATATGAAGGGATTTCTTCACCGAAAGACTTGGTGTAATCTATAGTTCAGAGTTTTATTGGAGAAAAAGGATTTTCTTCCTTTTTGGCAATGGTTCTATGTGGTCTTGATTTTTTATTCTGATTCCAGCCTTCCATATCTCTTTCTCTAATGATGATTCCTTGATTTTTCTCTTTGCAGTTTTAACAGTGTATGTCAGGGAACTCACATTCTCTTTCGGGAATTCAGCTTCATCCAGGCCACCCCGCACAATAGGGCATCATTCTTACGGGCCTTCTGGAAATGCTTCCGAACTGTGGGCAAAAATGGCGGTAAGTGTTCCCAAATCCTTTTCTTGCCTTCCTTTCTTCTTTCCAAACTTCTGCCTTTGTTTTGTTCCTATAAATACTGTTTGAGCACATGCTATAGGACACTCTCCGAACACCTTACTTTTGAGGAACTATCATCTTGTGTCACAGATACTACCACCGTTACTGGTACCAACATCATCACTAATGATATCTATTAGGAGCCAAGTGCAGTTCTAAGCACTTTATGTGTCATGACTCATTTACTCTTCATAACAGCTCTCTGTGGTAGATACTATCATCCCCATCCTATAACTAATGAAACTGGGGATCAGAGGGATTAAATAACTTGACAAGGTTATACAACAAATGCTGGGGTGAGATTCATACCCAGGCAGTCTGATTCCAGAGCTTTTGCTCTTCGCAAATATTGAAATACATGCAGCAAACTGAAGAAATGATATGAATACAAAGAAGGAAACTCCAGAGTGGAGGGTGGGGGTAGGTTGGGGACACTGTTGTTAGAGAAAGGGGACCAAGCAGATTAGAGAATGTTCTCCTGAGAACTGGTCGTTTGGTCTAATTTGGGAAGGAAGAGTAGAAGTTATCTACATGGATAAAGAAAAGAAGGACATTCTAGGCAGAGCGTATGCTGTGGTGTAGAAGCATAAAAGAACCTGGAATACTTAAGACATCAAGAAGATCAGAATGGCTAGAGTTTGTGAAGGGGGTCAGGGGAGATGAACCTGTGAAGGAATAGAAGAGTTAGGTCCTGAAAGACCATTTTTGCCAGAAAAAAAGCAGTTGGATTTTATTCTGTAGGTTAAAGGAATTTATTCAGAAGTATGATGTGATGATATCTGAGTTCTAGAAAGATCATTTGGAAGACAGTATAGAAATGGCTTTAGCAGGTGGGGCGCCTGGGTGGCTCAGTTGGTTACGTGTCTGCCTTCGACTCAGTTCATGATCTCTGAGTCTTGGGATTGAGCCCCGTGTGTTGGGCTCCCTGCTCAGCAGGGAGCCTGCTTCTCCCTCTCCCTTTGTGGCTCCTCCAGCTTGTGTTCTCTCACTTGCTGACAAATAAATAAATAAAATATTTGAAAGAAAAAAAGAAAAGAAATGACTTAGAGGGTGAGTCTGGAGGCAGAGAGTATAGTTAGGAGACTTGGAGTGGTGAGAGATAATGAGAGCCAAACCCAGATTTACTAATATGCTAATATGCTGTTTCTATTCTTTTTTTTTTTTTTAAGATTTTATTTATTTATTTGACAGACAGAGATCACAAGCAGGCAGAGAGGCAGGCAGAGAGAGAGAAGAGGAAGCAGGCTCCCCGCTGAGCAGAGAGCCCAGTGCAGGGCTCGATCCCAGGACCCTGAGATCATGAGCTGAGCCGAAGGCAGAGGCTTTAACCCACTGAGCCACCCAGGCGCCCCAATTCTTTTTATTACTCTAATCACAGCTTCTATGACATGTAACTCAAGAGATTATCCATCTCAATTACACTATTGAACATAAATATCTAGTGTACTGAGAATCAGATCATCTCCTCTATAGACTACATGCACTAGTGGACAAAAATCGAAGTGGACTCAATTTTAAGTGAACTACCTCAGAGAAACAACCCATCAGCCTCTACATACAAAAAACTGGGAGCCGTGAGTATACAGGTAAAGTTTGTAGTATTGCATCTGAACCTGTTTTTCCCAATCCTTTCCCAGTCCCTTAGTCAGTCCATAAATATTTGATTGAATACTCACTATTTTGAAGAATGGTGCATACAGCTAGAGCTGGTTTTTGTGGAATAGGCACATGGAGATAACTATGGAAAAGCAGTTTTTAGATCTCCTTAATTCTTTTCCTGATTTAGAAGTGGGGCCTCTTCCAGAATTTATTTACTATCACAAGGGATCCATATAGCATTTGGACTCTGAACAGATGTAGGTTTCTTTACCTTTTTTACAGCAGCTGCCAGTGATTCATCCAGCTGCTAAGAGGAAGCTGCTCCAAGTTCTCCCTGTTTTTCCCGTGCCATAAACAAGACCTGGATTTTATGCTGGATATTTATTGTTAGGCTTCTTAATCAGACAGCCTCCGATTTCTTAAATACCAAATGCAACATTTGCAGCTAGGTGATCCTAAAATCTTTGGTTAAGTCATTTTAATATATTCTCAGTTTCTTCCAGGAAACTTTAGAACATCTTTCAGTCCCAGAGTGTTCCCAATTTTAATCCAGAATGAGCAAAAACACTCAGAGGCAAAGTTCCAAAATAAAGTACTTATTAAGCCCCATTTTTTCAACTGAATGCCACGTACCTGACTCCTACTCAGAGGAGATGATCTATATTGTTCTTCCGCAGATGACTTCCTTAGAACATCTTGTACCTATTTTAGCATTATCAGGAAGAAACTAGGTCTTCTGGGAAACAGCACAAGAAGAGCAGAGTTCCAACATAACATATCTAAAAACAAAGCCACCTGTTGAAAACTAAGGACCTGATGCTTTCTGGCAAAAAACCATTTATCCCAGTTTTTAGCACGTATAGGGACGCAGTGTCATTTCTGCACGACTGAGTACTGAATGATGCTAATTTTCCCATGTCTGAAATTCAAATAACCTCATGAAGATTATAGTGAATGTCTTGCTATCTAGGCAACTTTAGAGTCTTGGAAGCAAAAAGATCTATTCATATGTAATAAGCCTTTAAAATTCAACTTCTCACTTTGGTATTTCTTTCAGTGTGAAAGATTAATCTGAATTTTCCAAGTCTGGCAAAGATTAAAATTCCCTGAAGTAAATCTTCAATTCTGTTTAGGAATATTGGCTCAAAAGAGCTATTGTCCACAGTTTATTTTTATAGTTTGTTAGAATTTAATTTTGAGCTTTATGCTTTTACAAATGAACAAACACATGCACACATATGTTTGTGTATTTCATTTAATAAAAGAACAAGAGCTACTTCCTCTTCTGCCCATGAAGTAGTACTTACTTAGGGAATTGTCCTCGTGCCATAAACAACTAGAAAATCAGACAATGTATCTGAAACAATTCTTCCAGACATTGAACAACAGTTAATCTGGGGCTGTGGTCTCTGAGGGGCAGATGCCAAGCAACAGTATAGGAGAGGAGATCCAAAGAGCACAGCAGTCTTACTTAGTTGAGGAGGCAGAGATTGGGGTTTGGAGAGGCCACAGTGACCAGAATTTGCAGGGCAGAGTACCAAAGAGGAGGGAGTTGCTTAGTAAGCTCCAGAGAGCTGCGAGCGGGTATTTGAGTCTCTGGCTACAAACTCTGCACATGTGTGGGTTGGAAAAAGAACCACCAGAAAACAGTAGGCCCAACAATTCCTGGAGTATACTCAGGGCCAGGAATAGTTCACGCTGCTACCAGCCAAAGTGGAGAAACCTCAAAGTACATAGGGCATGGACACTGGATAGGGCCCTCAGCAGCTTAAAAACAAAAAGGATTGGATGGGTCTATCTGCAAATAATTTAACTGTATACCAAAACAAAATTCAGTACTCTTTAAAAGAACTCAGTAAAATCTAGCATTTAATAACATAAAATCAACAATGTCTGGCATCCAGTTAAAAATTTTCAGACATTAGAAGAAGCAAGAACTTATGACCCATAACCAGGAGAAAAATTAGTCAGTAGAAACACAGACCCAAAAAAGACAGAGATAATAGAATTAGCTAACAAGGATATTCAAACAGTTATTTTTGATTATATAAATATGCTCAAGTATGTAAAGGGAAACATGACTGTGATTAGGAGATAAATGGAAGTTATTAAAAGATGCAAAAGTGGGACGCCTGGGTGGCTCAGTTGGTTAAGCAGCTGCCTTCGGCTCAGGTCATGATCCCAGCGTCCTGGGATCGAGTCCCGCATCGGACTCCTTGCTCGGCGGAGAGCCTGCTTCTCCCTCTGCCTCTGCCTGCCATTCTGTCTGCCTGTGCTCGCTCTCTCTCTCTGACAAATAAATAAAATCTTTAAAAAAAAAAAGATGCAAAAGAAATTTCTAGATTAAAAAATATAATATAAAAAATGAAAATGATGACAGCAATTAACATTTATGAAGTTGCTTCATATGTAGAATATCTAATTTTTCTTTACAACAATCCTATGTGTTAGGTAGATAATATTCTTATCACTTTTTCACAGAAAATGAAACTGAGATTCAGAAAGTTAAAGAACTTGTTCTAGATCACAGACCTAGTAAGTGAAAACACCAATGCTAAAGAAGCCAGAAAGTTGACGAGAGGGAGTATTATTTTTTAATGTGTTCTCCATCAGATAGTGTGCGAGGTGCTTGAAATACAACTGAATAAATGACAATACTAGCCCTCAAGGAGCTCATATTTCAGTAGAGTAGTCTCGAATAGTTTCCCTGGAGTGTAAGTGATCATTAAAGCCATATATAAGATTCAATGATAGTACAAGGGAGGAAATAGTTCTTCAGCAGAAGCTGGGAAAGGCTATAAAGGAATAGGCAGTTGGGAGGGATCTTGGAGTAGTGGAAAACTATTAAGCAAATAAGGAGTACATTCTAACAAGAAATAAAAAGAAAAAACAAGATTTTTGAAAGTATGATGATGACATGAAACACTATGGTTCCTAGTGAGAAACTGTAAGAAGTTCATTGTGGCTGGTGTGTAGTACATAAGAAGGAAACATCATCCCACTCAGTTGAACCGTACCGATTTGTTGGTATTTTCCCATAGGAAACTGGCAAAAATATGAAAAATGGGAGGGAAGTCAGGTAGTAAGACCAGTTCGGAGCCAGTAGAAGTGGCAGGGAGATGAATAGCTCTTTAAGGTTGGTTTGACAGGACTTGCTGATTGACTGAGTGCAAGTGTAGGAGAGAAGGGTCAAGAATGAATGCCAGAATCTAAAGTCTTGCCAGTTTCATCCTTCTCTTCTTTTTCTCTTTCCTTCTTTTTTTTTCTTCAGTTTTTTCATTTTTTATGTTTTACTCTGAATTCACTGTGATTTGTCTTCGTAATGTAGGTATATTCATTCATTC